TTGCTCAGGCCGCCCAGTGACGCCGCTGGATCCCTTCACCCCTGTCGCCCACCACTAAGCCATCGCTTTCCTCCTGGATGACCCCGAGAGGGCGGCAGCTTCTCCCAGGACCCTCCAGAGCTTACCGATGACCTGGGGCTGCCGTGCGACACGTCTCTCACGCCGACGGAACCGAGCACCCCACGTTCTACGGCGACCCTGAGAAGCCAGCAGCGGAAGAAGCCCGTGGCCTGAGCAGACCCGAGCCTGGCTCCCTGCCCCGCTGTGGGCACCTCCCCACTCGGACTCATCGCTCGATTCACACACTGGACATCCCGGGGTGGGAGCGGCGTGCCCCAGTGGCAGGCACGGAGGAGACGGGCCGTCTGGGCGAGCTGGCAGAGTGGCCGGCACTTGCTAGGCTGTGAGTTTTGCTGCCCGGGATGCTGTGTTCACCCACTGTACACCCACTTTCCCCCAAAGGGCTCCTCTCTGCAACACCCACGTGCCAACAGCAGCACCAACTGCCTCGGCCTGGCCCCCGACCCAGTGACCCCAGCACAGGCCCTACCAGGGTGCTGGGGAAGGGGCCGTGGACCTATGGTCCCCCAGCTCCTCAGAGCCAGGCTGTGTTTTGAAGGCCTCTGCCAACAGGAACAGTTGTTTTAAAAAGTCCATCTGACCCAGGTCACCACCCTGGGGCCGACCCTGACATTTCTGCCACAAATGGCCAGTGGACACAGTGCTGGCTGCCAAGTTCAACTTCACGCACGTTTGCCGTGAGAACGGGAGTTGCCGCCATCCCTGGGGACGTGGACCCTCCCCCACTAGTGACCTGCCTTGTCTGGCTGTCGGGGTTTGTCCTGATCCCAGATAACGTTGGTGTCTTCCACCTGGAAGGCCACCAGTTGGTTGACACTTGGGACGGGAGGCTTGCCGTGTGTCTGGAGGCTGCCGTGGAGTGCGGCGAGGTTCCCCTACCAGGAGGGCGGGCGGCACGGGGCTCCCCAGGTGGCGGGGGTGCAGCAGGAACCAGCCGACACGGTGAGGCGGGCGCCAAACGCCTCGCGGACCTGCTTCAGCCCTGCCCGTTCTCGCCCCTTGGCCCCCCCGGCTTCACCCCAATGGCTCCCGACATCTACGCCTCGGGGTGGCGGTCGCCTCTCCCCGCTGCCCCGAGGCCTGAGGGCGTCCCTGTGCTTCCTACATGGCAGGGCGGCAGCAGAGGCCGTTCGCTCGTGAAGCCTGGAGGCTGCAGGTAGGGACGGCAGCCCCTGCAAGGACCTTTTGGGGTTGGTGCTTCACCAGGACTAACTGGTCTTAAATGTCCCCACTGAAATAAGCTAGTTGTGCCTCTGGGGAATTGAGGGAGCCCCATGGGGCCCAGAGAACCTGTATCTACTGCTGCTTTTTTTGGATGGGTGGCTGGTTCAAAACCAAGTGACCTATGTGACTTGAAGCCCCACAGAGGGTGACGTCCGGCAGGCTCGGGGCAGGGGGCTGCCGCGCTCCAATGACTTCGGTCCCTTTGGTTTGTGGACTTTGTCCTTCGATCTTTTTTCACACCCTGGTTGTGAGACGACCTCTGGCCAGTGACGCCCAGTGGCCCTTCTCCCTGACTGACAGGCATCTGCAGGTCTGACGGGCCCAGCGGTCCAAACAGGACGCCGTGGGGACCCTTGTCGGGCAGCAGGAAGGCACAGCCCAGCGGTGAGGGCGGTTTTCAGGGGAAGGAGCAGAGGTGGCCACACCTCCGCATTCACGCCCTTGGGGCCTTACCTGCAAGAAAGCAAGGCTGTGTGGGCGCAGGCCAGCGGACACCCAGCACCACAGACTTAGTCCAGGCCGGACGCAGACTGTGAATGTCGCAACAGACAGCAGCGTAAGCCAGCCCCGCGGTGAAAGTGTCAAGTAGGCTCCGTGGTAGATTCTAGGGTGCTCCTAACCCTGTTTCTTTGCCTTGTGTGAGCTGGGCGAGGGTGAGCAAGTGTGAGGTGACAGCAGGGGGATGAGTGTGTGCATGGGCTCTCACCCCCGGGGGAGGGGGCTCCGGCCACGCCTAGGACTTGAGAGACTTGTGTGTCTTTCTGGGAGGGCACTTGTCTTCACAAACCCCTCTGGCCAGGTGGGGAGAGGAGGACAGGGTTCTCTTGGAAATGTGGGGGGCCTTGGCTCCCCCCCCCGCACATCCACCCCCCTCCACCACGAGCACAACGTCCCCCTTCTCTTTTTCCCTCTGAAATTTCAAATTCTCTGCAAAGGCCTTGGAAATGGCACAACGGTGACAAGGATAAGTACTTTGCTCCAAGTTCACTAGCGAATTCATAACAAGGCTTTTTTTTTCCCACCCCAAGTCCAAGAACTGATATCGGCCCCAACCCTGCTCCTCCCAGAGGGCTGAGAACCCGGGCAGTGACGGGAAGAGATGGCGGTTTAGACGCCAGGCTGCCCTGCCCCCACCCCCCGCCAGGAGGCTTGCAGCCCGGCGGGGGGCTAGAGGGGAGCCCCCAACACTGGCTGGGGCCCGGCTTTCCCACCCGCCCCGTGTCCTTCATCAGGGCAGCAGGGGCACTAGGAGGACGAGCACGAGCAAAGCCACGCTCCACGCCAGGCGCCAGGCCGGCACCTAAAGCACATTTTTCCGTCATCCCCCCTCGGAAAACAAACACCCAGAAGTAGATGTGATTCGCTCCTCGTGACAGAGGGAGAAGCCGAGACTTGTCCAAGAGCACAAGGCTGGTAAGTGGCAAGAGACAGGATTTGGCCCCAAGTCTCGTCTGGCCCCCGAGCCCCCGGTGCCGGCCATCCCGACGCAAGCACACGCCTCACCTCTCCGTTTCCGGTCCAGTGATGGACACCCTGGCCGCCACCAGGCCTGCTGGTGTTGCCACACCACCGCACTGTGGGCCCGAGCACGGGCGAGAACCCGCCCGCCCAGCTCCCGCGTCCCAGACAAGGGCTCCCCGGGTCTGCAGGCCGCCCGGTCGCGCGTCAGGAAGCCCGGCCTGCATCTCCTCAGAACCAGGAAACCAGGGGACAAGGACAGAGAAGGGCCTCGGCCGGGACGCAGCCGCGAGCCCGCACGGCGCACGAGAGCCGAGCTCGCTGGACTCCGTCCGCATCCGCCGCGCCCTGGGCCTGCAGGCGGCCGGGCACCTGCGCCTCGGGTCAGCCCAGCTTTCTCCACCTGTCCCACATGCAGCCCTGTGGTGGCCGCGGCTGTCACCACCGTGAGACAGGGCTCCCGTTCTCCCAGCAAAGGGCGCGTGAGCAGCCGTGTGACCACCTGGGGCCTCAGGCCACTGTGCATTCACCATGGGAACGGCGTCCTCACTGCGTGTATTTATTTGAGGTGACTCTTGTACTTGGCAAAGGGAAGTTTCACTGTGTGATTGTCTTCTTAATATAATTTGTTAAATAAATGTTTGTTTTAACCTTTTCCTGGCTTGCCGCTGTCTCTGAAGCCACCCAAGGTGGCGCCCCTCAGGGATGCTCTAGGCTCTGGCCTTCAGCTTCCTCTCCAGCTCGTCTCAGACGCCGGCTGGGCCAGCCACCACCCCGACCTTCCAGCCTTTCTGGAAAGAGCTGGTGGGCTTCTTCACCCCGTTTAGCTCGCATGGCCCGGTTACAAGCCAGAGTGATTCAGGGAGGGCGAAGAGAGCCCTCCCGGCCTCTGGCACAGCCCTCGGGACCGCTCCTGGAAGGAGAAAACCCCCCGTTGCCACACAAGCTGCAAACCCGTGCCTTGCAGTGGGTCGCCATGAGGAATGCAGGGCGCTCTTTCATCTGTGGGCTGCCCCGGAGCCGTGTCTGGGCAGGGTTCAGAGTGTCTGGCTGCCGGGCGGGGGACACGCGGCCCATGGGTTCGGTCCTGTCCCAACCACTCACCTGCTTGCACGACACCACTCCAAAGGCTGGGGAAGGGGCTGCAGGGCCCCGGGACAAGCGCCGGGCTCCCTGAGGACACATCAGTTCAGGTTTCACTATCAAAGCTCTTTGCCTCCTTAATACGTGACCTCTGCATTTTTGAGCTAGACAGCGCCATCTGAGCCGTCGCTGCCTGCAGCCCTGTGCACACCGGACTCGGGCGAGAGCTGGGCGACCCTTAGCTCGTCTCATCTCATTAGGACTATGAGGGTCCCCAAGAGTGTCAGCGCCCCCGGCCCAGGCCCCCACCGCTGGCATCTCTTGGGTCTTTTCCCACCGTGGGAGGGGAGGAAACCTCCCCAGAGAATTTCGTGAGAAACCTGCTGGACTCGAATTCTGGCTCTGCCACTTTCTGACCACGTGGCCTTCCGCTCATCACCCAACACCTGTCGGGATGGGGACAGTGCCTCCCTCGGTGGCTTACACCAAGAACATGGAATGAGGATGGTCACGGGGCATTCGGCACGAGCAGAGACCATGCCGGTCTTTCTGTGGCGCCCAGATTCTGTCTCACCATCCATAGCATGTGCTGTGGGCCCCACCCCGCTCCCCAGTGCCAGGTCACCAAGCAAGTATGACACGTGGCCTTGGACATCCAGGCCCCCGGGTCTGTTTGCAAGAAGCCTGAAGCACTCGCAGGCGGTCAGACAGGCGGATGCCCAGGGGCAGGCGCCTCACACACGGGCCTTCCAGCAGCAAGAAGCAGAAATCCACACGTAGCCGAGGCCAAGGTGGGACTAGCGGCCAGACCCAGAGGACACTCAGAGCCCAAAGCAGGACACAGCCAAGCCCCAGAGAGGCCAGAGCCAGGCGGCACCTTTTTCCTGCCTTTCCCACACAGGAGGCACCTTTTTCCTGCCTTGCCCACGCTGCCTCGTCTGCCTCTGCCTGGGTGTCCGCTTGCCTCTTGTTCTGTCACTCCCTGGCCTCCCTCTCACGTGCCCTGTGCACCACCACACGTGGCACAAGCCGCCGAAGTCTACATGGTCTCAGCTCAGAAGACCCAGAGGCGAGAGTGGCAGGACGGACACTGAAAGGCCAGCTCGGGTCAGGTGCCCCCGCCTGCCCCCGGTAGCGCGGGCCTGGGTGGGAGGGCAAGTGTGTGATCACAGAGGATCTGGAGCAGGTCTAGGTTTAGACCCTAGAAAGAGGCGTCTGCTGCAGAGGAGGGCGAGACCGTGCGCGTAGGGGTGGGAGACCTTCCCGGGAGATGGAAAAGCACCCACCAGCAGCTCCGATGTGAAGAGAGGATGGTGAGGGGGGTGACGCATCATCCATCCATCCATCCATCCATCCATCCATCCATCCGAGTCATGTCGTGTGAGTCTCTCCCACGTGGAGGCCCTGAGCTGGGCACTGGGCACTCAGCAGTGACAACCCTGCCCCGGTGGAGCCGACGGTCCAGCCCGCCGCAGCCCATGCACACGCACCGCGGCCATCTCTCCTATTTCTCCTGTTTCCACCTGCTTTTTCGGGAACCGGCTCATCCCTGAGCCCCTTCTGCACCCTGTGAGCAGCCTGTGTCTTTAACCATGCTTAACTCTGTTGCTGGGCAATGAGCTCCAGTCACATGGTTCCAGCAGCCACCTGGGTGTCCCACCTTGATCTCAGCATAGCCGGAGCTGAATGCACCATCTTCTCCCAAGCCCCAAACGGCTCCCCCTTCTGACTTCTCCCTCTCCGGAACAGCCCAAGTCACCCACGCCACCCCCTGGAGCCGTCTGCAGTCACCCATTTGCCAGCCGGCCAGTTCTCTCACCTAAATTTGTTTTCAGACTCAGCTGCCCTTTGCTCGATGTTCCTTTTCCAGTTCTGGCCCTAGACACTGTTCACCTGGATTTCAGCATCGGCCCCCGAGCCACTGCCCCGCCTCCCGGGCCCTCCACTCCCATCCACCGTCCACACAGCCACGATCCATTTCACGAGACCCCTCCACTTACTTTGCCCCTGACCCTAAGAATGAAGCCCAAGTCCTTTGGGTTTCTGCATGCCACCCTCCCACGTCTGACCCGCACCCCCCGTCCCAGCCTCGCTTCCCATTAATCTCCCTGCTGAATCGTTTGTGGCTCATCGAACCCTAAACTCTGTGCTCCCTTGCCTTTGTACATGCGATTCCCTCTGCTTAGAATGCATTTCCCTCACTTTCCGCCTGGCAAACTCCTGTTTGTCCTGCAAGACCCGCCTCATACGCCTCCTCTGTGATGTCCTTCTTGACCCGTTGGAGGCACAGGTAATGACCCTCCCCTTCGAGCCACTCCACGCCTCCTCGCACATTAGAGCCAAGGCTCCACTGGAGTCATTGGATCCTCTCATTCGATTATCTGCTCCTGGAGGA